TCAATTGATATTTATGAAATGGAATTGTATCATCCTTTTGAAAACTCCAACATTGAAATTATCTACCTTCATTTTTAGCTCACTCTCTCAACACTGATTTTGTTTCTTTCATTTGAATCTTGTGATTTTTTTAAGTAATAAAAGCATTCATTTTTTGTATTACATTTATTATAGACATGGTAGGCAATATACAAAATTTCATTTTTACTTGAAACTATATGAAGTGCTTTATTGGGAAATATTTTGGCTGTGGATGGCACAAAGCACACTTGTATTCCCCTGATTATGAAAGAACTTCAAAATGAAGTCCCTATTGTGTATCACCTCATAATATATTTTTAAAACATGTCATTGTTTGTTTTATAATGTGAATGGAATACAAAACATTGTGAGAGGTTTTAGGTAGTGGAAGTTATATGATGTTCAAATGGAAATTGACTATGAATTTTAATTTTTATTGTTAGGATCACAATTAGAAGGCTGGGCTCCATCTGCCTACTTGGAACCATCTGGTAGGAAATCTTCAAGGAATTCCCAATCTTTGGGTAGTCAAGATGGTAGCAGATCTGGAGGTGCACTAACTGAGTGAAATGACACATCATTGTAGAAAGTAAATTGTGGAGATTTGAAGAGTGTAATATGTGCATAATAGGGAACTGCAGTATGCAATACTGTGGTGAATGTGGAGATTTGTTGTTGAATTATTTGTTATTTTGTATTTTGTAAGTCATTATTTATTGTTCTAAACATCCAAATAAAACTATTGTTTATTGTATTTTTGTCTTGTAGACAAAATTTTTTAAATAAATAACTAAAAATAATAGACAGTGATGTCAAAATAAAATGCTGCATATTAAGCATTCCAAGTGTGAGAATCTTTGATAGTACTTTTGCAGCAGTATGTTTTGTTTCTCTCATATCTAGTCATAGTTTTTTGAAAAGTTTGTTTTGATGGTCAGTGTTGGAATGTACAGTATGTTAAAAAAGGGGCACCCTTCATCACTGCTGTTGGTGTTAGAACTAGAAATAGAGACCCCAAAAATGTGTGAAATTCAAAATTATTTGATTTTCAGTTAGACAATTTTGCTTTGGTGGTGCCTGCCTTCTCAATCAGTCAAATACAAGGCAAAAGGAGTCACTGTGACATCCATTTAAGAAAAGTTACAAAAAAGTATCAGATCCAAAACCTTTCTTTGCATAAGCAACTATCTCATAAGGCTAAAAGGAATATTAAAGCTGTTAAATTTTAAAAATATTTACTTTTTGAATGAATATCGTTTAACTATGTTTACCATACCCTCCTAAGGTCTCTTAACTTATTTGCAAGGAAATATTTCTTCATTTTGAAAATTAGCTTATTACTGGTAGCAAGATGATGATAATTTACAATCAAGTGCAATGGGTCCATAGTTAAGCACTTACGTGGTCTTTGTAGGAATTGTAATTCACATCAGCCACTGTTGTGGACTCAGTGTTGCTAGAAAGTGCATTTTGAACTTTCTCATTTGATACAAAATCACTTTTGTATTACAATTATTTCTTCATGTCTATCACTAATACCTAGTGCAGCATTTTGTGGTGCCCTTTTTGTTACATTCCTTGTCTTGTCATAGATGTAAGACAGTGATATAATTTTATTTTTAAAGTGTTGTAACTTGATTGATATGTTGGGTTAATTGTTACACATATACACTGACCTTGAAAAACATGGGTGATTGTAGACTTGTCAAGTGGTTTAAAAGTACAATAATATGGATCATAAGTTTTTGTGTGTAAGAAATTTGGTGGACAATGGTGGACCTGAGACAGAAAAATTTCTGTATAAATTAAACCTGAAAGTTTGGAGCTACTACTAGATCAATTTTGTGTGACAAATACAAAAATGAGATTCACATGAGAAGTTGAGGGTTTATTTTATAAGAAATATTTGTGCAAATGAAACCTGTGAAAATGATAAGGAAGGTTGTATAGAAAACAATTTTTTGTGCATTTATAGTTTTGTAGAATTCTTAGAAAATCCTCAACAAATTATATTAAATGAATTTGATATTCAAGAAATAATTTCTGTATTTTTATGAATTGCAGCTACCAAAATAAACATTTACATGGTAAGTTTGAAAAATTACAGAAATAAATTCCATGGACAATTCGTTCTACATTTGTAAGAAAAAATGTTAAAAACGTTGGGTTAACTAATGAATAACATTCAAGATTTTTGCCTATTGTAATTTGGTAATTTTGCACCTCCAATTCCTTAATAAGTATCTGTGAAAGTATTGTTTATATTTGTTAGCCTCTGAATGAAAGTTCTGATTTCACTTCCTGCTTCTAAGCATTAATTAAACAAAGTCCTATCAGTTTTGCTTTTCTCCTCTCTGTGAGACTTACACTTTTGCTGCTTGATGACAGTGTTGTCATGTGCTTATTTTATAATGTTCTTAGCTGAACACAAGAGTAGTAATTTCACATTATTATTGAGTGTGGTATTACCATATTAATGGATTTCAGCTAATGTGCCATTCTGCAGTCCAACAAAATATCCTCTCTCTCTCTAGTTGTAATGACCAGATATCCTTGTTTCTCTTCAATACTACTACTCGTAGTTCTACTTGAATATTTAGTTTGTTATAACCCTATATCAATTAAGTGTTTTGTTTTATCAAGTAAAATATGTTTTAAAAATATTATTTTTCTGAAATTATATGGTTTAAAAAATATACAAAAATTCAACTTGATTTGAAAATTTGAATCAATAGTTCAGTTTAAATGTATCAACTTATAAATAATCAAAAAGATCTTTTGTCCCTGCCCTAGTTATACTACTAGTTGGCATAACTGAGTTCTCTTGTGCAATTTTGCTCCTGCTAGCAATTATTGTATCTTGTTGATAACATACTCTTTTAGTCTGAAGTGAGAACAATTCTCAGTGTTTATGTTGATGTGTTTTTTATTGATGTTCTTGAAAAGCATTGTTCATATGTTATGACATCAATTATATTTGTAATCAATTGATTCATGTTAGACACGACAACTGCAATGGACATTAGTCCCGTTTAGGTAGTAAATGTTTCATCCCAGAATGTGGCAGTGATGGTGAGGTCCGGTGCTGACCTACACTTCAACTTGTGTAAGATTCCTCCCTCCAGCTATCTCCCACAACATAGCACTTCCTCAGTTGGGACAAGCTTGTTGCGCCTGATAATGTGTGAAAGCAAAGTGCCTGTAGGTCTAATTGTGTGTATGTAAGGGGAGAAGATAGGACAAGGAAGCAAAAGGAAAGATCATGCACAGTCCTTGGCTCATGTGTTGGGGTACTGGTCTGGGATTGATCAAAGAAACCACAGAAACTTACCCATCAGAACATCAAGCCATTAGAATTAATCCAGACTGATTGAATTCAATCTGGCTATTCAGCAAATATTGAAAAACCTAAATATTGGAAGACCTAAACTCAGACAAAATATTTGTAGTCAATCATTCTTTAAGAAATTTCCATTTGAGCTTACTGACGGTCCCTTTGAGGATAATATCAATTCAAAATTACTCAGCCCCAACAAATTACGAAGGGAAACAAGATTGAGGATATTTTTTAGGGCTTCAGCATATAATGTGTAAAATGAAAAGAAAAACGATTGTGCACAAAAACTCGCCAGTTGTGGAAGTGTATCAGAATTTGCTGCCATTAATATCCACGGACCTATGCAAAGTGGAAATTTTTACTTCGTTATGTGTGTCTTATCACAAAGTCTGTAAATTTTGAAACATCCTACATAATTAGTGTGTTGTGTAAATTTTAATTTGTGTTGCTTCATTGAGTGTTTATTTGAACCTACTCTGTCAGTGTTCCAAGATTAGAGCAATTTAAATTATCTTTCATTTGAGTACATTAAGTGTATACTAAAATTGTTCTACTTTATGAAAACTGCAAGAATTAGAGGAAGCAAAGTAAAAAAACTCACAATTATCTGTGAAAATAGAACAATAATTTATAGTGACATAAGGAAAGTTTAGTGTAATGCTTTTTACTCTTCTTTTTTAATAACTTGTTTTCTATACAAACCTGAACATGTGAAATTTTACACATTTAATGAAGAAAGATTTTGATACAAGTTTATCATATTGCTGAGTGATAATCACTTTTTGTATGGAGGAAACAGTACTTATTAAGAGTCTTTACTTCATTCATTCATGTTATTACTAACGGGTGTAATTAGGTGTGCGTCCAAAGTCCATTTGTAGGTATAATATTTATATGGTATTTCTGGCAACGTTAATTTCTTAATCCTTTTGTTTGATAATTTATATTGTAATACTTCTATTATTAGGAAGTAGTTTTCGTACCAAGAACAAAGTGACATATTATATATCATTTGACGGGCTATATCTCTGCCCATCTTTTTCATAGAGAAATGTAATCAGTGGGAACAAAATACACAAATAGCTCAGCCCTTAGAAATATGGGATGAGGTACTAAAATATAAAATCTTTCTTTAAGCAGATTACTCCTGATGAAAATACGAAACAATTTCTTCCAAATCCACTTTGGAGATTCCTAGTAAGAGATATAAGTGAGGCTTCCTGCTTTGTGCTTAGGTCCTTGTTGATAGCTTGTATTTAACCTTTTTGGACTGTAACCAGAAGTTATTATACTTCTAATAGTCATTTCAGTGGGACTTGTATCATTAATTTGTAAATATTATTGGTGGTCCAATGAAAATGTGCCTCCAAATGAAGAAAGCAATGATAGTTTTACTTTCTTGTTTCTATTAATTTTGAAATTTTTATTTGAAAATACATTTTGTTGAAATCTCATGTTACTCTGTTTTTGCATATTTCTCTTTTTAGATAATTAATTAGTCAATATATTGTGTTCTTCTGCCATTTATGTATGTTTTAGAAAATCATCAAAGCATGAGCACTAGCAACATTTCTTGCAGACGTATGTCCTCAATAAAAAATGAAAACAGTTCTTCCCATTTTTTTAATCATATTTTTGTTAATATCAAGTATTTGTTAATTCTTTCATAAGTTGAATCACTTGTCATGCTCATATACTCATCATGTGAGTTTCGTACATGGTCTTTTGTCGTTTCTAGTATGCACTTTATTCACGTATTTCTTCTAGTGAAAAAAATATGATTATGATATGGATTATGAAAATATTCCTAATTATTTTTTGTTATGAACATTCCTTCTTTCCACTTATTTTAGTGCAAATGCTTCTGTTAGCACTCCTATTCATCATCTGAAGTGTTTCCATCAACATATGTTGGTATGAAGAAATACAAAAGCTGTTAGATTTTATTAGCACAAAGCTGAAAACTAAAATTATTTCAAAATAAAATTTAAGTTTAAAAAAATCCTAAATGGTTTATATTGTGATGAAATGAAGCTGCTAAGATTGTGACAAATTTAACACCCCCCCCCCCCACCAACACACACACTCACACACACACACACACTAGGTGTAATCACATTTCTGTTTGTATTATTTAATTGATGCATCTTAAATTCTTCATTGACCTATATATTTATATACTGTATGTAATTCCATAGCTACTTTAATTTCACTTAAAATTATTTTTTCTATTACAAGCAAGGAATTATTTTTATGGAGTTATGTATAGAATATTAATTAAAGATTTAGCATATATTGCTATGAATGCTAGATGGAGTGAAGAAAAAGTAAACTGTAGAAAAATGAAATTACGTATTACACCTCCTCACTCCACCATAATTTTTTCAATGGCATTGTAGCTGGAAATGTCCCAGTGTAACAGGAAAAACAGATAATCCATATCAAGGTCGTCAGAAGTAAGTGTGTGGGTTTATGCGTGTGTTTGAAGGGGGGGAATGCTTTTAAACAAAATGGTATTTGTTATTTATAAATATTATTAATTTACAGATGTTACCCACATTTTATAATACTTTTTTATTACTCAAATTTATAAATATAATATACCAACATTATTTTTCTCAAACGTTCTTTAAATTTTAATCTTTCAGAAGTATTGACTTTCATTCGGACCTTTTTCTCTAGATTTTGAAAATCACAATCTGTATTTGTGGTTCATTGCATCTGTGACAGTGAAAAGTTGTGAGATTAAAATATTCTTTTAAATTTTCCTAGGGCATGATTGGAAATACTGATAATAATGTACACCACATGATGTAATTTTTTTCAATATTAGTACCAATTCTTAATCATGTTCTTATTTTATCTTAAATATCATTACTTGAATTTAAAATAGTTTTTCAAAGGTTATCATAATAATTAGTGAAATTCTGAGCAAACTAATATCAGTGGTGTTTGTCACAAACCAATTGTCTTTTATTTCACATGAAAATGTTCCTCTAAGTTTGATGGTTTTGTATGAATCTTTGCTTTTTTCCTTAATGTTTGATTTTATTCAATTCTTGGAAACAAATCTTCAAATTTCCTTGAACTGTATGGTGGAATTAAAAAAAATAGTATTAATGAATTTTATTGCAATAAACAATTTATTCCAAAGCAGAAAGATTATTGGGAAGAAACTGTAATAGGTGCACACCTCTGCAATTGATTTTGTCAATATCCACCTAGTAGAGATTCTCGTAAATAAAGAATGGTACCAAGATAAGTAATAATAGTAGAAATAAGTAGAATATAATTTTATAAATAATAAATTTCTTTCTGGAAAACATTGAAAAGAACTTCCCTTGAATATGTAATGGAACTGGTTCGAAATTCTCTTATGATATAATGATAATTTTCTGAAATTATTTTATTTATCGATTTCAGAAAGCAACATGAGTAAAGTGTGTTTAAAAATTTCTTTGTGGTGTTTTTGGCAATGGCCTTACAGGATTGTAACAGAATTATTTGATTCTAGAGGCTCAAGAAAACATTTCGTAAATATGTTTTCCATTAGTAATTTTTTCTAAATAATTTCCATAATTTGTTTCTGAATAAAAATTTCTTTCTTCAACCAATTAGGATAAACATGTAGGTTTGTAACAATTCCACCATAATTATTTAGATCATGAAAAACTTGGGCTTGAAGAAAAGTAAAGAAAAGCCTCTGACATTTCAGTGCTTTTGACTTTATGAAACATCAATCAGGGTTTGTAGAATTGTTCCAAGAAACACAGAAAGAAAGTGCTCGGAAGTAGAATTGGTTTATTTTATGACTGCTCTACAGCTTTTTTCTAGATTTGTTTGATACGATAAAAGAAGACATGAAAATATGAAAAACTATGTTTGTTTTTATTTTCTTAAATTGTATAAGTTTTTAGTAAAAATAGGTACTGAACGTCTATAGGCGAAGAACAATACAAAATGAAATTATTAGAACCCAGAAGTTTAGGCATTTCTTTTCATTAAAATAGTCAATCAAAAGGGCATTTATTTTAGCTAAAGTAGAGGTGCAAAATACCCAGTAAACAATGAAAAATAATTTCATTTAAAAGGAATTATTGTAAAAAATTATTAATTTCAATGAATCCCATTTTTATTCTAACTTTAAACTTTACATTAGCTCTTCTCTTGTAAGGAAATTAGCTCCTCTTTGTAATCTTGATTCCATCAGATATGATGGCTTCAAATTTGTTGTACGTGTGATGCTTTCTCTTCAAAATGCTATTGTGTACTTCCTTTTAAATTTTGAAATGGCATCAATGAAAAAAAATCTTAGACTAGTATCATCTTCCTTTTTCATTTAGATTTTTAATACAGCTTGTGCTTCCACAGAAAGAAATCATGATTATACCTTCATGTTGCCCTGGCTTGTAGGTATATATCCAGCTTGATGGAGATTTGTGCCAGGAGAAATAACCCTTTCCGACCCTGCCTACACAATTGTGTAGGTATAAATATAGTCACAGTCCACACAATTGTGCAGGTTAGGATTTTTGTTTTTTTCTCTTAAATGCGTTCACACCGGCACACATTATTTGTGTAGGTTCTTGAGAATCTGTGGTGAAGTTTTATTCTTATACAAACTTGTGTTTTGCGGTCGAATGATTTTATTTTTGAATAAGGCAGACTAAGAAAAAAATGTCTCAGGACTGTAGAACATACATTATTTCAATCATCTGAGTCTGAAAGGGATAAAGCAAAGTAATTACAAAAAAGGCAATAATACAACAAAATGGCAAAAGTAGGCATCATAAGCTAAAAAAGGCAAAATGAAAAAATCTCCCAAAATAACGTTTTTTTTAAAGGTTATTTCAGGGTCACACACGGGATTTCGTATCCCCGCAAATAATCTGTGTATTAATTTATGTCATTCAAAAACAATGCAAGAATGAATAAATAAATAAACTCGAAAAGTACAACTGACTCCTATTGTTAAAAGCCGAAAAATAGTAACAATAACAAAAAGACATTTTGCCGAACTTCCTCACTCTAGATATTAATATTACCATACTTGAATGTTTGTGTTGACAGTTCATTAGACAATTCATTCCTTGTTATTTGAAAAAAACAATTCTTTGTCAATTGCATGTGTTATTACACAATGTGTTTGCTCTGACTCTACAAAGCATACTGTAGTCTGTTGCTGTTAAAAATATTTGTCTTGAATTTTTTCCATAAAAAATGTTAGATCATTAAACAAAAAAAAAAAAAAAAAAGTGTGCTCATAAAGTCATACCTTTTTATTTGAGGGTAGTTTTCATGTATAGCAAACCCATGTTTCATGAGTTATTTTTGTATTATATATTTATATTTACTTATTTATTTTACTTTCTTATTTTAGTTAAATATTGAAATTTCAGTGTTCTAATTTTATTATCTTCATTTTCTTCAAGAGCATGTTTTCCTTTCTATAATAATCACTTTTTATCGTGTTCTTTTATTTTTTTCTTTCTTTATATTGAATTTTAAATATACACACTTAGAAAAAGGGCATGCATGTAAACGGGTGAATCTACAGTTGCAAAGTGATAAACTTGTGTTGAAGCGGCACAAACAAGGAAAATAAATTCTTTTCCTTTTCTTTTCTCTCTCAATTTTTTTTTTAGAGGGGAAGGGAGCTTCTGAAAAATTCCACCCATATGTTACACTCCTTAGCTATATTTTATGTTGGTTTGTTTTTATTGGCTTTGAAATGCATGTTTGCAATGTTGAATGATAGAGCTTATAACTTGTAAAGTTTTGAAAAATGATACTTTTTACAATATTTTAATGTTCCCAGTGATTGTACTGACCATCAAATGGCCCTTGCTTCTGTGGTTTCATGTAAAATTGGCATGTTTTCATGGTATATGTTAAGAAAATATTATTCTAGTCAGTGCAATATTAATAGTATTAGTCTTGCTCACAATATGAATTCAGCCATGGTATAATTGTATAGTAATAGGCTTATTTTTTCAAAGCAGTTTGTGTTGAAACTAAAACTGTCATTTCTGGAAAAACATTTATTTTAAAAACAAATTTTTACTGAAAGAAAAAGATGATAGAATAATGTACTTATCTGTTTACAATATCACTGACAATACAGACTGGACTTTTATATTTATATATCCCTGTCAATGTAACAAATAATTAGATTTGTTCATACATTGTGAATAACAAATTCTGTAGTGGTCTTGGAACTGTGTATGGTAATCAAACATGCAGGCAACCAATTTCCAATTTTGATACCATTCTGTAGTTTTCTTATTGCAGCTGTTCCTTTGAACATCATAGACTCAGATATTAAATATTGTGTCCATTGTTTGAGCAGTTATAGGAATAATAAAATGAAAGCATTATGAAATTACTTTTGTATAAAATATGGGCCGTTTTGGAAGAAACAGAACTTTTGTATGGTATTTCAATATAAATAATGAAATTTGATTGCCCTCATGTTATCTAGAAATTAGAAATAAACTGATAGTGCGGTGATTTGATTTCTAATATTTCAGAATAACTCAATTTCTCAGTGATAAATGGCTCTTATTAGTTATTTACTAACATTTGGCACCAAAAGGGAACATTGCAATAAAAAAGGAATAGCATAAAATTGCTGTCTGTGGGCCACCAATGCTTACAGCACTTACTTGGGGCTTCAAGCCCTGCGACTTCCACTAATTATATTAAATACTTAGAGTTAACATTAATCTTGCTAGTAGACTGTACAAATAAAAAGATCAGGAATCTTAATTTGAAACACACAACAATTGTAGTAATTGTTTTTAATATGAATCAGCTGTTTGTACAAATGACAATGTGAAGTTTATATCTGTGTGTACAGATGTACATGGTATGAAAATATTTGTCTCCAGCCATGCTGGTATGAATTATTTTGCCTGATCATTGTGCAAAAATAATGAAAATAAATGAAGATTACAAATTTGTCACTGAGAACAAGTATCTTTCTGGTAATTTGTGAAAATTCTTTTCTTGAGAAACTGCTCAATATAAAAGTTAATCTCCGTGATCTGTTGAATTAGACTTATATATGTTTCTAATTTTAACAGGATGTTCATTGAACAAATGGTATCATATTGTTGAGCACCAATCCCTTTTATGGGTATTATAGTAAGTGTTGCTGATGTAAATACTTTGTTCAGGGGCTTCCCGATAAAAATTGTATATAAGATAATTATTATTATTGTAACACAGATGTATTGTTCATGTATTATTCTTCAAAATTTCATTATAGTTCATATATTGTGTATTGTTAGTAATAATATTTGTTTTCATTTTGTCAAGAATCATGAAAATGACCTTTCTACTTTTATACCTGAGTAGATATTGGTATAATTTGAGTACTAGAAACTGCAATTGAATGTTTACTGTGTATGTGTAGTTATGCAATATAATTTGTTATATCTTTGCTTCAATTTTTCACCTTTGTAGCAAAAAGTAAATTAAACAAAATGCAATATACTACTACAATGAAATTTTGCCGATAAAGCCCTACAGATTAATGAAATAACAATACTATCTTGAAAATGAAAAAAAAAAAAAAAAATTATAAATTCTTAAACAACTGGGGAGAAGGACCTTTTTTCATCCTATTTGTTATTGAATTAAATGACTTTCGTCAGTTGCAGTGAAGTATTGAGGCAATAATAATTTTTATAATAGTGAACCATACTAAGAAAAAAACAATTACACACTTTATTTTATGTTGGATTCACCTCACCTTTCTACATTGCATGTCTTGGTACTTGTATGACCTTTTTTGTGTTGGTAAAGCTTTTCCAAACTTTCATTTGTTTATGTATCATTTTTGGCTCATAAATCTTATGATGGATGTAAACATTTTTGAATTCATATCAGGAAGTAAAATGTTAAGTGTCAGTCCTCTTAACAAAACTTTTCTTTGAATTGTCAGTTGTTTTTTAGAACAAACAAAAAATTCAAAATTATTCATTATTCTTGTGTAAGTTTTTAATTACTTTTTCAGTATCTAAACTTCAAATATTTGTGTGAAGGCATACCAAGGTTCAACATTTACTTTCATATGTTCATTTTTCTGTGGGGTTCTGAAATTAAAAATATGTAATCACTGCATGACTGAAACTGCCAAGTTTATAACTCTTCTTCCCAAAGCAGCCTTTGTCTCTTTTTTAAAACCAAGAATTGAAACTAATAAATTTGTATTTAAATATTTATATCAATTTTCAAATTCAATGCAATTTGAACCCATTTACCTAATGTCCTTAATTATCTGAAACTTTGATTCGCAAATCATTTGACGAAGGATGGAATAAGCTTTAGAATTCTGTGACGTCCTCCACACCAGAGAATGTTCACATTACTACTATTTCATTATTTGATTTTGTAAACCTAGACATTTCATTGGCTACACCTATGCATCTCATTTACAGATATGCATTTCTATTATATCTCTTACATTATCTAACTCTTTTATTGGTTGAATTCAACCTGATATTCAGAATACATCTATACTTAGTATTCTTGGAACCATTTTCTACAGAAAGGAAAGCCACCATAATCTAATGAATCTTAAACAATGATGTCTTTGTGTTATTGATGAGCTAATGCATTATAAGTAAAATTTGTGAACTTTTTCAGATATGATAAACTTTGACCCCCTCTCCATGTTTCATTGTTTTACAGTATCATAGATCTAAAGCCACATGATAAATTGTTTTTGTTCTCTACTGAACTGTAATTATCTTGAATTATATTGATTTACAATGAATCAGTATAATTATTTAAATTTCAATTTTTTTTTGGAAATTCCTCAAAGGTCTGGAGTATTAGAAACTCTTCTGAAGGCCAGTGTTTTATCTAAACAAAACTGCGAGGTGTGGTACCTGACTCAAATTTTTTAACTGCCACACCCCTTGAAAAATGTAGAATACCAAACCTTTCAGGTAGGTCAACCACACACTTATTATTATTATTATTATTATTATTATTATTATTATTATTATTATTATTATTATCTTTATTAACAGGATGTACTCTTTTAACATAAGTACATCAGAACTATACAAAAAGAAATTGTAAAGCACAGTGTGATAAGAAAGTAAATAATACTTTAAAAAAAGGTAATGTG